TATGACAAGGTCTCCTCAGAGTGTGCTGGCATGGCATGTGTGAGATTCAATACCGTCGGCACCCGATGCGTCATGATCACATGTGCTGTTCAGCTTGTGGGCTACATGCAGCGGAAAGGAGTGGAGGGCGTCATCGCAACCTCCAGGATGTCAGGCTTCTTCCGAAGCCTGGGGCTTTCTGCCATCGCCGACTTCAAAGCTTCCTGCTCTTTGGAAACGGCCACGGTTGGGCCGGGGGACGCCTTGTACTTGCCCCCAGGTGCCATTGTTGCAGAGTTATGCCACACGTGCAACATCGGTCTGAGGTGGCCAATCGTTGTTCATGGAAGCGTGAGCCCCAGCGTTGGCTTGGCCTTCCAACGACGGCATGAAGAGTTGGAGAAGCTGAAAGGGATGACAGACAAGGAGACCTTGAGAACGAGTTTGGCCAGCGAGGCTGAAGTGGTCGCTGCGATAATGGATGCCATGTCACAAAAAAATGATGACCGGTCCGCTGACAGCGGAGCTGTTGCGTCGCCTTCCGAGCCGAAGGAGTCAGACCAATCTGAGTTGCCAGCGGCAGAGCCCAAAGAATCCTCGCAAGCCTCGGCCGAAGCCTCGAATGCAGCACCGCCGCCGGCACAGGTGGGAGACGGACCAGGTGTCCCGTAGATTGTAGATTTTAGAATCTCGCTTGATTCGAACCGTAGGGAGAACCTGCCAATTTTCGTGGCGGGACCGGGGATTGCTGCACTGGCATTCGTGATGCAAACTGTGTTGTGTAGTGTTGCTTTATTTGCCATGCCCATATCTATTACTATATATGCTTCTCAGCACTTTTGCGTCGGATGTCCAGTGCAAGTTGACTCTTTTCCGCGTAGGTGCAGACAGGTTCTTGCGTGTCCAGCGTGAAATGCCTGTTAAAGCCTAGCGCCCGGATTCAGCAGTGAATTGGCAGCATGGACGAGCTGGGCAAGTAAGAGCTTCACTTTTGCAGAACCACCGAAGAGACTACCAGTTTGCTGTCCGAGACAAGCAAAAGCCGCAGCATGCATCAGAACTAGCGTTACTAGCGCTGTCGGGAGTTGTGTGAATGACTTTGGATTGGCGCCCTGGGCAGGTGCGGTGTCCAGATGCAGATTCGGCTTGGAGTTCTCAGCAAAAAAAGCTGGGAGCGGTTGAGCACTGCGAGAAGTTTGAGCTGTAAACCGTGTGAACATGATCAGAGGGGCAAAGTCGCAAAGCTGGCAATGTAGCAGTAGTTTCAGTTTACTTGTTCATGTCATGTCGGTGGTCATACGAAGGATTGTGCTCGCTTGTGGATGCCTTGTTCACAGAGTGGCATCAAATCGAAGGCAGAACCAAACCGCAAGGAGATTGAGATTGCAACGACACCACGCTTGCAAATCCAAGTCTTTTCAGTGTAGGTTCTGTGGGGCTCTAAGCAGTGAGCTTCATGTCTCATGTTACCTAGTGCCGTGCATTCCTTGTGCATTTGATTGGTCGCCTTCTCTTGTCAAGCTTTTGGGGCATGGCGCATTTTTTCCACAGAATTTCGCTTGAGAATCTTGAGAACTTTCCCGCTGAGATTTGTTGAACACAACTGCATAGGACTACTTTTGGAAATGCTATCGTATCGTGCCGGCGTTTTGGTGGAAAGAGCAAACATGTCAGCCAGGGTTGGGGTAAAGTCGTTGCTGGGAGTTCAAAGGCGAGCTTGGCACCTTGCGTAGGGCAGGAAACCACAAACCTAACAACCCACCCGAAAGCAAAAAATCAAACATTGCAAAACACCAAAAAACAAAAAATCCAACATTGCAAAACCCAAGAAACAAAAAATTCAAGAGAGCAATGCCCAAAAATCAAAAAATCCAAGAGTGCAAAACCCCCCAAAACAGATATCCGACGCCCGATTGAAGCAACACATTGGCGTATTGCAGACAATCAGCGGCGGACCATAGTGTTCGCGAAATCTTTCTGGCAGATCAGCCCCTGTTGCAGCTGATGGCGGCAATTTGAAAGCTGTTTCGAAACGCTTTGGCAGAAGCAGTATTTTGCAGGGTACGGGATGCACTAGGCCCAATCCCAGGGGTGGCTGGGGTCCCACATATCCGAGCCCCGTCTCAGTTGTTTCTTTCGCCGGCTCCGTCTTTGTCGGAGCTGGGACTTTTCAGGGGGCTAAAGGCGCAGGGGCTCCGAGGCTGCCAAGTTTAGAGTTAGCGCGTCTGCCAGGTTTTGGGGTTTGTTCGGTCTCCCTGGTCGCTTCCCCCGTCCTCTTCCCGCAGCTCCGGTCTCGTGGCCAGGTTCGTCGCTGTCATCCTCTTCTCGCCGAGGTCCGTGTCGAGCTTGGGGCTTCGGGGGGCTCCGAGGCAGTGCTGTGCTCGTTCCCACGTCTCTGGGAAGCCCCCACCCTTCATTCTGGCCAGGCCGTCCTGGTCACGACTTCGCTTCGGGAGGCAGGGTGGGTCGTGACTGCTGCTCCGCCAGTGTTGTGTGTCGATTGCACGTTGACTTTTGCCACTAGGGCTCTCTTGAACAGCGCAGCGTGGCTGCATCAGCGATCTTCAACGTTCCCACGGAAGTGCACAATTGCAAAGCTCGCGTTGGCTGTGTTTGGTGGCTTGTCAACGCACCAATCTTGCTGCAGGCGCAGACGCTGTGTTTTCAACTTTCCGGTCGGCCGCTCCCACCACAAGTGAGGCTGGTTGGACGCTTGGAGGCCCCAGAGGCTTTGTCCGGCAGGTGCCACAACCTGCTGGGAAACGAGATCTGCCTCTCTCCACCAGGCTCTTAGATTTCTGCATGCGTGCTGCAAGCGAGGTCACGTTGTCTGGGGAACTGCGTGTTTGGAGAGACCACCGGCGAAGCTCCGAGCACGGGTTCTGCCCGAATCGAGGGCATCAGCACGTCTCCATTTGGAAGAAGCTGTGGCCCATTGTGGTCTCAGTCTCCGGTACCATGTTGCGTGGTAGGCGACTTTCCCGGAGAAGAAGGCGGCCAATCGAGCGATTGTCGAGACCAGCAAGGCAGGGCATCTGCGCGCACAGGGTGGAGGGCAACGACTGGAAGAAGGTTCTCTATACAATCACGTTGTTCAGGAACTGTCTGACCTCCTCTCGAGTGATGGTGGGATCCTCAGCTCTGGCTCTCCTCAAGGTTTGCTCCTGGTTCCCGAAACCTGTCCTTGGATTTTCATAAACTCGCCCGATGATTTCTTGCCTTCGCGCAGCTGCTGCCATCTTCATCTCTCCAGGCTTCGGTGTTTTTTCGGCGCGCGGCAGGAGGCTTGGCGCCAGGCAATTTCCGTTCGAGCTGCTGCGGCGTTGAGGGCTTGTGTGGCGCTCATCAGGCGTGCCGGTTCCGGCCACGACAGCATGACGACCTTCTGGAGGCGTTGGGGTGCTGCTTCGGAGCCTGGCTGCTTGAAGTTTTTTTGTTGCGCTGAGTTTGTTGGTCAGGGGTCCTGCACCTGCGCAGCCTGGGCTTTCGGATTTCCTCATCCCCGATCTTCTAGGTTTTTTTGCTTTTGCCATGGCCCAATGGCGTCACGAAGCCTTGGCGCGCTTGCGCTTTTTCTGCTGAGCACCTTGGCGCCGGCGTTCTTGTCACAGGCCAGGCCCCGGGGCTCGATGTGCTGGGCTGATGGAGGTCTGTAAGAGTAGCCCGCTCGTACAGTGTCATCGCTGGATACCTGCGAGCGACACTCCAGGGCTTCGGCTGGCTGCTTGCTGGCAGCTTTGTTTTGTTTTGTGTACGTGCGTGTGTTTATTGAGATGATGCACCGCAGGCACCAGTGGCTTCCAGACTCAGACCGCTCCCAACGCAGGTGGCTTTGCTGTTCTTGTCGTGCTAGATTGCAGACAAGCTCCATGCTGCAGGCCGCTCTGGAAAGGGCACCGATGCGTGCATGGCCATTTGGGCCTGCCCCTACTTCGGCTAGACCGTTGTTGTGGCGACAGCTGGGCGCAGTACGCGATAACCTAGTCTTTCTTTCGCTTGCCCTTTCCGCGCTCACGGTCGCCCTGAATTTCCGCAACTCGCCGCCGGGTAGGGTGCGGCGGGCAGCGAAGACCATGATGAAGCCTTTCAGGCCCGAGCTGGCGAAGGATCGGATGGCGGAACGAGATGTTGTCGACAGCATCGCAAAGCGAATCGACAACTGGATGGGCCACGCCACGATCATCGCCGGCCGCTTCGGCTCCGGAAAGACCGTGGCGCTGGAAGAGGCGCTCCGTGGCATGCAGGGCGTCTACGTCCACACCGTTGAGGACAAGGATTGGAAGAAGTCGCTCTACAAAGACCTGGGCCTGGACAACCTGGGCATGTTGAAGGTTGCCCTGCGCCTGGTCAGAAAGCGGAACCAGGGGTCAACCCCCATCCCCCATCCTCGTATTGGACATTCCTCGAACAACAAAGGAAGGCGCGACGTCGGCGACTTTGGTTGTTTTGTGTTTGATTGGCTTGGGTGCAGGCATGGATACGGTTTCCACCTTCGCCAAGATTCTGTCGTCGGACAGTTCGCTGGCACACGCCGGGACCCGAAGACTCAGCCGCCCTGTTTCGCTGTGCTGCGGTAGGGTCTTGTGCAAGCTGTTCGCAGGGTTTCTTCCGAGGTGATCGTGTGCGCATCGTCGGCCGCCATGGCCATCGCCTTTGATGCCGGCGGCGAGCAACGTCAGGAGAACTACTGGGTGGAGGACCTTACTGTTGACGAAGCCAAGGAGCTTCTGGCCCTCCACGGGCACCGGGAGGATTGGGAGCAATTCGTAAATGCCTGCGTCTGGGCTGCAGTGGTTGCTTTGTTTTGTCGTGAGGGGCCCTGCGCTGCACTGGTTGGAGTGTCCTTCAGGCGGCTACCGTGCTCTGGATTTGGTGCGAACCTGCGAAAAGTACAAGGGGCCGGCGACGCTGGCGGCCAAAAAGGAGGAGATGGAGGAGAAGGCGCGAGAGGAGGTGAATCGCTTCCTGAACGGTTGCAAGATGGAGACGCTTGATGGCGTCGTTCCTGCTGGTGCAAATATTTTGAACGCCCTGGTGCAAGACCGCAGAGCTGGTGGCACGGGTGTCGGGGCATTGACTGGCGGCAACGTTGTGCAGCCAAGAGATGTGGCAAATTGGATCCGGGACAACAACGCCGATGCGGTCATCTGGCACATGC